CCTCACCTCCAAACAACACGCCCACCCATGTGTTACACATTTCCAGGCAGCCTGCGGTGGCTCTGGGGCGAGGGGACATTGCGAGTGATTTGTGCATCTTTTTCCCCGCTTTCATTGCTTCCTTAAAGGACAAAAGGGAAAATAGAGGCTTTGAGCCCTTTCTGGTCACGAGTCTGGATGCAGTCTATAAACTCACCGTGCTATTTCTGCTATGGGCAGGGAGGGGAGAACCAGACCCCATGTGTTATTGTTACAGCTATTTTTAAATGCTTGAGTAAGAATCAAGTGCAATGGTATTGGGGGCCATATACATACCTAAGGCAGAGGCTCAGCTGCATTCCCGGAGAGGCAGAGCTGGGCATAGCCAGAAAGTGACGGAGAGAGAGAAAAGAGGGAAAACTTAATGCCAGAGGGTGTTATTCCAGGAGAAACCCCTGCATTATTTTTCTGTAGGCTTTGGCACCCAGGCCCATCTGGGGAAGCATGTTTGCAGAGTAGCGGGAACCTTTCTGGCCTCTCTGAGCTTGTGATGACCGACCACACACACGCATACATGTGCACAGCACAGCTGCAGAAAAGGCTGTTTATCTTGTAAAAAATTGACTTGCGCAGGAAAGCATCCAGAGGCATCTGTATTCTTGCAAAAAGCACCAAAGGACAATAAATACAGTGAGTTTCCTCACCTTTTAAGGACTTGAGCATTCCTCCTTTTGGAACTGGAGGTGCTGTTAGCCTCTCACCAGCCAGCAACACCCCTCACACAGAGGGAGGGGTCGCTACAAAGGAAAGGGGCCCATCCGGCCAAGCAGGAGCTGCTATCAGCAAAGATAGCCAGAAGATCGCTGTTACTAGCAGGATTTGCTGTCTATGGCACATCCCTGAGAGCATCCAAAGGGTCTCCGCACGGTCTTGCTGTCTCTCTGGAGCATCCCAAGAATGGCCAGCCCTGCCCCTGAGCACCCAGTGCCCCCAGGGTAGCTCATCGCTTTCTCCTGTGGGCCCTCCCTTGGCTTCTTCCCACCCTCCCAAGGTAAACGCCAGCTTGGGGGGTCCCCTCCCTAGAAGTGTGAAAGAGGGCACTGGGGTGCACACTGTTCCCAAATCAGGCACTGTGGAGCACTGCTGGGTGGTGGAGCCATGTGCTGCCAATGGGATGTGCAGCATCAGAGGGCACAGGGAACGGAGAAGTGCCGTGGGGTCCCACCCAGACCTAGAAACCCCCTTTAGACACTGCCACAGCATATCCCCCTGCCCCAGCTGCCATGGCTATGGACATTCATCTTGATTTCTGCATAGCTATAGCACAGTCTCCAGCTTTTTTCGCTGTCTGTGGGCACCAACCCCAGGCAGTATTTTTATCTATTTGACTCAAAATAGCCCTTGATCTGTTGTACTGCACTACGACAGCTCTCCGCCCCTTCCAGCACACACACCCCACCTCCAACAGTGTGCAGTTCTAGGTAGTGGTGGAAAGGACCATTAGCAATGCACCAGGAGCATATGCTACCTGACATTGGGGTCCTCCAGCATCCACCTTGAGCCATCTCAAGGCCCCAAAATGGCCATCTGCACACGGTGATCATCCAACTTGGGGCTTGCTCTGTGCTGGTTCCCCCTGTGGAGCCTCTTCACATGCCCTCTTCCTTCAGGCTCCCTGCAGAGGAGCCTTCTCTGTCCCTCCTGCCCCACAACTAGGGGCTTCCCATGTGGGACGAGTCTCTTCTCTCACTGGACCGAACGGCAGTGCTTGTTAGCTCAGGCTTGCTGTCTGTATCTCAGGGCAAAGATTAACTACTCCAAAAGATGTCTTGAACTTGAGCCCCTGCAAGCAAAAAACAGTGCAAGTTTCCACACAGCAGAGGCAAACGTCAGCATGCTGAGCCCTTCCTGCTCATCACCCAGGCTCCATTACAGCCACTACCCACAGACACTGTTTTTATTGTGCTGCTGTCGTTCACTCATGAGTTTTTGGAAGATTAAACATTTCTGCAGAATTTCCACCATTATCAAGTCCCACAGATGCTCCAGCTCCACCCCCCACCCCAACCCTGCCTCTACGCTTCCAGAGCAAACTAGTTGCTTTAACTGAGGGTTCAAGGTCCACCTCAACTCCTTTCTTTCAAAATGGAGCCTGTTCTTGGTGCTCTAAATATTCTAAAACTTATCTACCTGCCTACAAAACTTTCCTGCGCCAGCTTAAAATGGGTAGACTTTAAGTCAAGCAAGTTGCAATGGCTTGGGATGCTTATCCACACTTAGAGCTCCTAAACTCTTGCAAGGACATGGAGGACTGTCACAGGGCTCTCTCCCTGCACCTCCTGACCTCTCCATTGAGGTTGGATTTATTTCTTCTCCTTTGTTTCTAACTCAGAGGAGTCCTTTACAGATGACAGCAGGGCGAGACCTGTGTGGAGTACAGCCTTGCTCTGTTTTCTTGACGAAAATTGCCATGGTAGTCCATGGCACTGTCATCACCAGGACCGTGTGCCCCTCTGCCCCAGCCCACAGCCCCTGGCAGGTTTCTTGCTTACAGAAACATGAGTTTCTGACAGATGAGCTTCTTTGCAGAGATATTTAGAAACGTGGAGAGTTGCTGAGTGACTGTAAAATTGCTGCACTAGCACAGGATAGATTGGATCCTGGTGGTGCCAATGTGTCCCAGGTTGCTAGTGGGCTTATTTGGGAGTGTTAATGAAAGCTTTTGCAAACTAGTGGCTTTGTGACTCCCAGGGATGTAGGGAGGTGCACAATCAATTTCTCCTTGCTCGGTGTAATGCTAAGATGGCTCCCTTGCCCCTTGCTTTCAGCTATAGCCCTGTGCGTTGCCCTGGTCTTGCCTTGCAATAAGAGCTGTGATTAGATGCCCCTTGGCTGAACTCCCCCTGTACAGATGAAAACGAACCGATGCCTGTTGTGTCTTCATTTGTTTGCCCCATGTTGCTTCCTTCGTCTTCCGAGCTCTTGAGAAAACGTGCTCACGCAGCGAGCCATGCAGGAGACCTGCTTGTCTTGCTCTTAATCACGAAACATGCGCTACTTCTAGCAGCTCTAGAGAGCAAAAGATTGCAATAATACCTTTTACATTATAGTCGCTATGTTAGCAAGAAAGAAAACATTATTTTTTCCCTGACAACAACTCAACTTCTGACAACACTTGTCCAGTTTCTTTTTTCCATAATGCATTAAGCATTAGGAGGCACAGCTCTGCAAATAACCCAGCTTTCAAGACTACCTGTTGAGGACATTGTTCAGCAATCCTGCAAAATGGTTTTATTTGTGGATGGAGGGGAGATGTTGGTGAATTCTCCTAAACTTCCTAGCTCCTGCTGGAAGAAACACATACATTCTGGTAAAAGCCACAAAATGCCGAGTCTGGTACAAGGCAGCCCTCTGTATCCCGGGTCTCTGTGCCAAAGAGACATTGCATGAGGTGGTAAAATCAAAACCATGACTTTGTGAAGACCACTCAGCAGTGATGGGCATCTTTATACCTGTCACTGTCCCTAGGATATCCGGGGAGGTCTCTGGTACACCTGGTATTCACCAGGTGTGAACATCACTTGTTAATCAAGCAAGAAGAGGACATGGAGGACACCACGTGCTACCTCCCCCACACACCCCAAAAAACAAGCCCACAGGATATTCCCAGCAAGAAGCAGTCAGATGGCCAGGGAGCAAAGCTGTCGCCAGGAAAGCTCACACATCTCAAGGGCAGCAGGTTCCCTGTGGGACTCTCTCCGCACTGCTCTCCGCATCGCTGCCGCAGAGGGCAGAGCCGCTTGTAGCTCAGCATTCTGCAGGCAGAGCCAAAGGAGAGGCCTGGGCTGCCCATGCTTGTTCATGTGAGCATCAGCCTTGATTTCAGCCAGAGGCTGAAGAAGAGGGAAATGAGATGGGAAGTAGTCAAAAACCGACAGTAGCAGTAATTTAGAACCATTACTAATTTTCCACTGTAATTAAGTGGTCCGGTTATCTTGATGCTTGAGTGACCACTCCAGTTCTCAAAAGCCATTTCTGTACACTTGAAACATGGTGAAAGCAACCGCTCCTCTTTCTAGAGTAGAAAACAGGCTGTTGCTATGAGCTTGGAGAGGACACAGAAACGCATCTGTCTTGGCAGAGATGTAATTCAAATCAGCAGCTTCTTCCACTGTCCCACTCAGGAATGGAGGGACATTCAGGCAGGGAGCTGGCAGCTGCCTGCGCAGCCTGTCTCGGGGATGCTGGATGCTCCCCATGGGTGAGACAGCCTAAGGCCCTCTGTAACGGCAGGATGCAGGAGAGAAAAAGCTCAAAATGGCTCACAGGTCCTAAAAAGTGAGGGGAATGGCTAGTGGCTAGATCCATCCTGTGAGGCACGGCAGGCAGCAGGTTTGCAGTGCTGGGGTACAGGTAATCCACCTCACGGGCACCCCATGCCAGGATGGTGGCTGGGGACGGCACTGCTGAGGCAAGGTTGTCCTCTGGTATTTTTGATGTGCTAGAGCACATCAATTATGTGCTCCAAAAATGATGGCTCATGCTTTCCTGCTCTCCTCTGACAGCAGCCACTGTCCCCCTGCTCAGCAACCCGAGGGGAGCTCCCCATCACCCTGGCAGTAGCATGGGGGAGGCAGGCAGGGAGGAGGCTGCAACCACCCTTCCTGACACACTCGAAGCACTGGTGAGCCCAGCCACCCACCACGGTCACCCCCCACGTCCCGTGTCACCCGTCATCCTGTGCGTCTTCCCCCTCACATCCGCAGGGCACTCTAGGACAGACAGATGTCTTGTGCAAACCCTGACCGAGAGAGAGAGAGAGATCTCCAACAGCCCGACGCACCACCCGGTCCCCCCTCCAGGGACAGGGCAGGCAGACCCCAGCTGGGCAGAGCCAAATTTTTCCAAAGCAGGGCTGAAAGGAGAGTTTCAAGAACTGGCTTGGTTGGAGACAGAAACCAGAGTACGGGTCATAAATTCAACCCCACCTTCCCTCTGCTGCCTGCGCCGCGCCTGGCGCCATGAGCCGGCGCTGCCCCAGCAATGCGAAGCCCCTGCGCTGGTGGGTCAAAGCTGAGGGTCACCCCTTGGGCTCAGCAGCTGAAGACTCCCGATCTCTCTGTCTCTCTCATGGTTCCTCATAAGTTCAATGGCACAATGCAGCTACACTGTTTGAAAAGCCATAATATTTGTTGGTACGACTCTTTTATTACCGCCGATTTATATATATTTGTTGATAAAAGAGGTCATCTTGGGAGACACTTGTAGTCTACTGGGAAATAATTATCCGATGCTGTATATTCTGTACATGCTGTATAAAAAAAAAGCAAAATATTTAAATTGAAATGTTCGGTGGACTCAGTGGCACATGCTGGGAGGGGAGGTTGGGACCGGGCGAGCCCCTCCCTTGGGCCACCACGGCTCAGTCTCGGGCTCCCCAGCAGAGTCACCATCCCACTGGGCTCCTGGCCAAAGCCCGGGGCAGGATCCGGCCACGGTGGAAGGGAGAAGCTTGCAGCTCCCTGGGTGCTTTTCCTCATGCGAAGGTGAAAGGAGGTGACTTTGCAGGTAAAAGTGGCTGCGCTTGATCTCCCTCCTGGGGGTAAAGCACAAGACTGGGTACGGCTTTGTTTGTCAGAAACTCTCAGCGCAGCGAGCCCGGCGTTGCCCACCCGCTTCCCTCCTCTCCTGCCCAGGGTGGAAACCCTTCGGCCACCACCCAGTGCAACATCTCTAAGCCTTATGGTCAGAGAGAGACAATTCCCCGCGGGGGGATGTCCGGCCGCGGCAGAGACTGGCTCTGAGCATCTGGCTCCTCCAACTCGTTTCCATGCTAATCCCGTGCAACGGCACCAGCTGCCCTCCCCAGCGCATTTTACAACAGCAACAAGCTGTGATCTTCTAACCTGACACATGCTCTTAGAAAACCTGTTTCATATTTTCTGTGGTATCGATCTACAACTTTCGAAATCATTGGAGACAGTTGTGGTAGCCTAAAAATTGTGCTGAGCTCATATATTTTTATATTTGTGGTGTTTTCCTATTAATAGAGAGTAGTGAACCAGTAACCCTATAGCTGAAAGTGAACTATTCAAAATAAATATACGACTGCAGAAAATATTTGTAAAAATAATTTATTTGAAATATTCTGCCAAAGATGGTTCTCTAATGATCTGTAAAATGTCATTTCTCTCTTTTCGCTCTGAATGTCATTGTGAAAGCACCTTTCTCCCCACTATCTTTTGAAGATATGTTTTTTTGTATCTTTAAGGTCAAAGAAATATGCCAATGATTTTTTTACCGGAGCAGTAAATAGAGTAGTAGGGAGGCACGAGACAACTTTATAATGGTGATAAACGGGATCCAGTAACAATCACTCTGACAATCCGGATTCTCCTGTAGTTCCTTTCACGGACAGATGGGTTTCGAAGCCCGGGACGGTTCTCTAGCAGGAAGGTCTCAGCTGCGGCTGCTGCTGCTGCTGTGTAGCTCACCTGAAGGAGAGAAATCTCTCAACCACCCATTTGCAGGCTTGGGGCATTTGGACCCCCTCGCAGGTAACTTCTGCCTCTTCATTATTTATAAGCACGATACCCTTATTAGCCCTTAATAAGCCCTGTGGCACGTGGGTAACCCTCGATAAGCCCTGTGGCACGTGGGTAACCCTCGCTCAGGGCTTTGCGGGGCTTCAGCCTGATGAGGTCTAGCCCCCTCCAAAGCCATTCCTGCAACGCACCGGGTGCCCGCAGCAGCCCCGACCTGACAGCAGAACTAATCCCACTGACACCCGGATCTGTCCCCTTCCCAGCATGGGGACAGGGGCAGGAGAGACCCAGCCGCCGTGGGACATGATACCTTAGCAAGAGGATGCTAAGCAAGGTGTCCCTGCAGGTATGCAGTTCAACAGGGTGATGTATGGCCCTTTACCAGGGAGAAGCTGCCCAGATTAGTCTGTTCAGAAATTACAATTTTTTTTTTTTTTTAATAGGGAAAAATCTTATTTCCCTGCTTCATCTCTTCCTCTTGAAAGAACTTTTCAATGCTAGGAAAAGCCTTCATTATCTTCTGTGATCCCCAAGTCTGTTGCAGTGGAAATAAATCCTCAGCCACGTCCGTTAGGCTCCACCGTATCAGAGAGATTTTTGGCTCAGGGGTTTTTTTTTTTTTTGCTTCTGAGCAGATTCACAGTTTCTAAAATTTCTTGGTCATAAAGATCCAGAGGAATTAATTGGTAATAAAGAAATGAGGGCCCTTTTCCAGTGAATGGGCTTCCACGTGCAATTCAACTTTTGACTCGCCAAAGGTCAGGCACGTGTGTAAGTAAATGCTTTATTGGACAGGCGCCCAGAAACGGAGACGTGAAATGCAGTTTCCAAGCCGTGGGGTGTGTTCGGATGTGACAGGAGCACCGCCATCCATCAGGTGCGGGTGTCATGAGACCGTGCGGTAAAGCACATGGCACAGTCTGCAGCCGTGGGAACTGTGTGCCGGTGAATTTTTGTTCCTCTGTGCAATGAGCTCTCTGAATCCAGGGTTACACAGCTGCTGCATCACAGGGAAATGCAAGCGAGCCAGGGAAGACAACTGTGAGAAGAATTGGGTTTCTGATCACTGTGCATTTTGTTAATTAGTGAATTCAAATAGTTTTATTTTTACCAAAAACAGATAATCTTTATTCCAGTAAAGACAACTGTTGACTTGAGATAGATATATATATATGTATTATTTGAATGGTTTATATCTTGTTGCTCTAACTACATAAAATGGAAACATGTTGCAAGTTGTGTCATTCCAAAATGTACAAAATAAATTACTTTTCCCTGCATGCTGCCTGGGTATGTTGTGATTTGAATTAAGAATTATATTTGAATTGCCTTATTCAAGAGGTTGTATGTTACCTAACTGGGGAATGACCTGGCACTGTTCATCACATCACATGTGTACTTGATGCTGTGTTATGTCAAATTCAGATGAGGTGTCTGTCATCTATGTATTTTGTGGGAGACCTTTTATCTTGTTAAACTGTGATATGTAAACCTCTCATTGCCTGAAATAGTCAGAGTTGTATAAATCAGTGTCTTTAGCTGTTTTCCTAATTTTATCACATTTCCTAACACAAAATATAGATGTTTGTAAATTCTTCATTCATTTTGTCTATTTTTATGTATGAGGTTTTTTTAATCTGGCAAAGGAGTAAGATAAGGCAGCTTCCCCTGAATTTTTCAATCAAGGCTCAGTTACATTTCTATCCCTCGGCAAGATGCAACAACTAATTTTCAGCAGCTACAATTGGAATTAGGGACGTATGTTTATTGCTATTATCTTTTCTGGCTCAGATGGGCCATTATCACTGCGGAACACAATGATTAATGACAAGCCACGCGCGATGCTCCCGTAGTGACAGCCCTCTGGGGACCCGGCGCTTTACAGCGGTTTCTTCAGGCCCCACACCTCTGCTGTGCGGCGGGTTGAGTGGGGAGGGAGAGAGTAGATGTCCCTGCCACAGCCAGCCAGGAGAGAGGGGAGAGATGCTGGGAGTTCCTGGCTCCGAGGCGCTTTTTCTCCTTACACAAGGCACCCCAAAGACCATGCCATCCGCCCTCCTGCGTGACGCCCCGGTCGTAAAACTGCATCTTGTCCATTCATTAACCCCACGGTTGCAGCACGTCTCTGAAGACCAACATCCCGTCCTGACGCTACGCTGTGCAAAATCCCCCACAACAAGCTGCTCCCGCTGAAGCCGCCCATGGGGTTTTTTCTAGGTTTGGTTTCCAGCCATGGGATCAGGTTACTCCACGGCTGGCTAACAGCAGTGTGCTCCCCATCTAGACTCCAGAATACCACCTACAGGTCAGAGCCCTTGGAAAACATGCTGCACTGTCGAAGGAAGCAGTGCAAGGTAGGCACAAATCTGTTTCGGTGGCAGCACAAGGACAAGAGGTGACCCGATACCCCCAGCAGCAGGGTTCACCCCTCTTGTCCCCCCCTAGACACAAATACTGTGTCTCTTGGCTGCAGCACCATGTGGCCAAGAAACAGGTCTGTTTGGTTGGGGAACAGATCCCCAGAAGCCCATCTCCAGCTCTCAGCTGACTTTTTCTGGGCCTCCATGCCTAAAATGCCAAATAAAACAGTTGAGAGCATTAAAACGCTCTTGCCAGAGCCAGCCACGGTCCCTGCTCAGTTGTACAGGTGCCACATCATCCTGAACATAAGCAGCATAAATGTTTCAGGTATACAAAGCCATACTGAGGTGTCCCAATCGTGGTGTAAAAGCCCCACTGTCCTCTCCCCACTCCGCCAGATTTTGACCGTCGCTGCATAACTGTGCCGTATGAAACGCTGATCTTTTTCTATGTCTAGTAACCATAGAAACACATGGTCAGGGAAGTAAATTCCTGGAGCAGGACAAGCCGTGGTCCCGGGTTATTGATTCCCTTTCCAGGGCTTTGAGCGCTAAAAAATTTTCTGTCCCATCCAGAAATGCACCTCACATTTTTTTCTTTTCCTCCCTTTAGTTTTGGCAAGCTTCAGGTTTGAAGGACATCGCTGGCGAAAGGGAGATGCTCTGGGAAGGGCTGGGGTAATACAGGGAGGAGGTTGTCAGAGAGAGCTCTGTGCAGCACCCCAGAGAAGACCAAAAAGAGGAATGGTGAAACCAGTTTTGCTACAGGCACCCCCTTTTTTTTTTTTTAAAGTGTGGGGTAAAAATGTTAATTTTTGCCTTATCCACTCCGGGGCTCTCAGCGTGACCTCAAAAGTGTCTGTGGTAATGCCCGCCATTCCCCGCTCTCATCGCTGCTGCTGGAAGGCATCATTTGGAAGTCACGGGCTCAGCCCCAGCTGGCAGAAGAGACCCCACAGATTTCGGTGGGCTCCTCGCAGCATCCTGATGCTGGACCGCCCTCGCCCCGGTTCCCCCCATTTTAACCTGCCGTGTCCTTGGCTCTGCTGGCACAGCTCACGTTGCACCATGTCCCCCTGCAGGGGCTTGTACAGCCCCGGGTCTGCAGGGGGACATCCTCGGGTGTGCAGGGGGACATCCTCGGGTGCGCAGGGGGACATCCTCGGGGACAGGGATGGGTACTGGGCTCGTCCGCAGCGGACCTGACCTCGCGCTGGGGTAGTCCTGCTCCAAACTAAGGCCGGGCTGGGGCCCTCCAGTTGCTGCTCCTGTCACTCTTGGCCTAGAGGGGTTACCTCGAGGTGGGAGGCCAAAAAAAGGTCAGAAGCAGGAAAAGTGAAATTTCTGAATAAGCCTC